TAGAGGAGCGTCCTTGCAAATTCATCTCTTGTGCAGAGCTCAAAAAAAGCGGTGAGTGTTGTTTTTGGAGCAGAGGTTATTCTCTCTTGGAAATTGTTTGCAGTAAAATAGACACGTTCCCCATTTTCCAAGTGTACAGTCAGGTGTGTGACTGTCGGGTGCCTTTCGTGTAACGGGAAGGCTAAAAGCCGCCACACGGCTTCGTTGCTGCTAACATAACGACCAGACTGGTACGTTTGGACTTCATTTATGGGATTAGCAGCATCGGTGTTTTTGAAACTAAAAATAGCTTGGTCGCTACCTTTGTTTATGTATTTACATATATATTTGATAGCGCGCACTGAGCTGCAAGCTTCTACGTTTATATGAGCGTTAAACATTTTTGACAATACGGGCGAAAAAGGGACTACCCAACTATTATCAATAGTAACATAAACATTTCGAACTTTTACAGACGCGGTTTGTCCCCCATCGCCTGGTGCTCTTCTTCGATACAACGGATATCCATTGTCATTGTGGACAGTTTCTTTAATAAGCGTGCGAGGATATTTTTTAGAGCATTTTCCATTTTTCATGCAGGGGCTTTGAGGATTGTCAGGACCGCAAGGACCATGAATCATATTTTTAATAATAATTTCATGAAGTGCCTGGTCACTACTTGGATCCGGTATTTCCGCTCTAATAACATTATCTATTCGATCGGGTCTCAGCTTGTCCTTCAGCCAGATTAAAATATGCACGTGAGGAAGCCCGCGTTTTTGCCACTCTATCGAGTACATGAAGCATAGTACTTCACCGAATACATTTCCTTTATTGACAACTTCCATAAGCTTCTTAACTTTTAATCGAAAAACCCTTGCAACAATATCATGTCTATCGATTGCCCTCTGTCCCGGCAGCAACTCTTCAACTATTTCAGGCCAGCTTGGGTTGCATGTAAAAGTTACGAACAAATCGGGGCGACCATATGTACGTACGTAAGCGAATGCGTCCTGTGTATAAGCGTGTAAATATCTGGGGCTATTTACAAAAGATGATGGCAAAATTACCAATTTACCTAAATCGTTAGGGTTAACATTACCATCATTTGCCACAGCATCTTGAAGATGGACATAGTTCTCCGCTCTCAATTTGTTTTGGTTTAATGATATGTATCGTAATCGTTCGCTTTCAACTTTTACATACATATCAACATAAAACTGATTGGCCAGTTGTCTACATCGTGATATTATATTAAAATCATTTTCTCGAACCATGATATGGTAGGCATAAAAATCCATGCATGAGACTTTTTTGTTGTTTACAGGCAAACCTGTTACAGGACTGACTTGGGGTATTTGAAAGTGGTACCCTTCTTGCCCCTTGCTGAATATCAACGGATATTGCAATGCGTCATAAAATTTGTGTGTATCTGGTACCCTACTTAAAATGTCATTACGGGCATGCAAAATAATGTCACGGGAAGCAAACTGTTCGCCTGTGACTACAGCTGCTACTTCATTAATAAGCGGTGCATTGTACCGTCTTTCATGTTCCCCAGTTGGTGTACGGTCAGGGTGCATAATCAACTTGTAATTTTCTGCCGGCATTCTTTCTAATGCTGTTTTGAAAGTATTAATAAGGTTGTTATGCTCGTGCAACATTCTCTGGATTTTTAAGACAGTATCCCTTTCAACTCCATTAATATTTTGGCATCTGCGGTTAACTTCACTATTTTCGTCTCCCATAAAATAAATTTGCAAAAATTTAGGCTGATCGTTTGTAGGCAGTAAAGACCCAACCCTATGGTAAACTTGACCTTGTATTTTAAATGTACTGGAAAATCCAGGCATAACAACCTCATGATCTACTCCAAATGACGTCATTTGGAAACAGCTATTATATTTCCTTATACTGTTCAAAAAGACTCGTGACTCATTACTATCGCATAAAAGTAGTGTTTTCAGGGGTTCCTCTGGAACACCAAGTGATGGAAGTGAAACTTTACCTCCAGAACAGCACATACCCGGAGTTTCCTCTTTCCATTTTAGTGCCATACAATATGTGCACTTTTTAGCCATCCGTCCTAAGAGCACTAATCGATGGTTCATGTAATCAATTAAAGGGTCATAATCAAAAGCAGCATCATGAAATACCTCCCACGTATTACGTGTAAATATATTTCGTCTTTGTGCTTGCCGTGCAGCTAATAGAACACGTCGTCTTTGAGATTCTTCATGTGACTCTGCAGCAATCAGAAACGCATGACGCTCAGCATCCAAAAGCCGACGTACTCGAGTTTGATCTACAGTTTCGGAAGCTCTTTGAGTTGCATGACGCCTGGCGTCTAAGAGTCGTCGCTCCTGCCTCACTTCCTCAGTCTCAGCAGGTCTTCGAGCAGCGTGACGTTCGGTGTCTAAGAACCGGCGCTCCCGAGCCACCTCTTCTGTCTCAGCAGCTCTTTGAGTTGCATGACGCTCAGCATCTAAGAGCTGGCGCTCCTGAGCCATCTCTTCGGTCTCAGCAGCTCTTTGAGTTGCATGACGCCCAGCATCTAAGAGCCGGCGCTCCCGAGCCATCTCTTCGGTCTCAGCAGCTCTTTGAGTAGCGTGACGCTCAGCGTCTAAGAGCCGTCGCTCCTGCCTCACCTCCTCAGTCTCAGCAGCTCTTCGAGCAGCGTGACGTTCGTTGTCTAAGAGCCGGCGCTCCCGAGCCATCTCTTCGGTTTCAGCAGCTCTTCGAGCAGCGTGACGTTCGTTGTCCAAGAGCCGGCGCTCCCGAGCCATCTCTTCGGTTTCAGCAGCTCTTTGAGTAGCGTGACGCTCAGCATCTAAGAGCCGTCGCTCCTGCCTCACCTCTTCAGTCACAGCAGCTCTTTGAGTAGCGTGACGCTCAGCGTCTAAGAGCCGTCGCTCCTGCCTCACCTCTTCAGTCTCAGCAGCTCTTTGAGCAGCGTGACGCTCGGTGTCTAAAGTCAAACGGGCTTGAGTCTGTTCTTCAGACTCTTGACTTCTTGCAACTCTTTTAGCTCGAGCTCCACTGGAACTACGTGCTAAGTTGGTCTTGCGTTTTCTAGTCATTGAAAAAAATAGTTTAAAAACGAACTTAAACTAAAGAAATATTAAAATCTTTCCGAACTTATAACAATTTAAAAGAAATTATATTACAACCTATCCTATTTAACAACCAAGCTTAAAACTAAATAATTAAAAAGAAACGAACTTAAAACTAAATAATTTAAAACGAACTTAGAATTACAGTTTTACTAAACAATCTAAGTACTATTAGTCGAGATCAAATTAACCGACATCAAACAACAACCAGAACAACCCAACAAAACCTTTTAATCGACAGATGCAACGCCAATTTATCAGAACCAAACATAAACGACCATACAACCGACAATACAATTTTTCCACGACGGTACCGAAGCGCTCGGCCGATACCCAACCAAATGCGTGTAACGAAACCATAGCGCGATCTATTTCGATCCCAACGCCATCTATCGAGCATAGTGACAACTCAGATTATTTATCTATATTCCGTTCTTGCATTTTCTTATATTATATTATTTTTTTCATACCTTTTTACTATTTATTAACTGTTTTCCGATGAATTAAAAAATAACATGAACCGAACTCGTGTAACGATCGACACCATTGCGCGTAGTACTAATAGAATTATCTATACTCCGTTAGCGCATTTTCTTTGTAGTAAAACTTGTATTATGTTAATATTAATTTTTTACACCTTTTTACTATTTATTTACATTTTTCTGATGGATTTTCCGATGAATTAAAACAATAACATGAACCGAACACGTGTAATGACACTATTGCGCGATTAACGCCATCTATCTATGGAGCATAGGAACAGCTCGACATTTGACTATTAGATGGCGCTGTATGTCCGTAATAAATTTTATTTTTTATTTTTATTTTTTGTAATAAAAACTATCCTATGTCCTTTCTCAAGTTTCAAACTATGTCTGTACCAAATTTCACACAAATCGGTTCAGTAGTTTAGGCGTGAAGAAAAGACAGACAGACAGACAGACAGACAGAAAGACAGACAGACAGACAGAGTTACTTTCGCATTTATAATATTAGTTTGGATTTAATAAAAGAGTTTTACGATTTATCATTTATTTCAATAAAAAATAAAATACAACACAAATCAACAGCTTTATCATTAGGTTATGATACTTTATATCAATTTTTTCACCAAGAATTAATACAAAGTAACAATCTGGCTGACTCATCACTTAACCTATTTCTATGTTTTCTAATTACTAATGATGCTTTAGAAAATAAACTCTCAGCAGTTTCAAGTATATTTAAAAGTGGCTACTATATTTATTAAACGGGTGATATTTGAACACTTTTTTGCTATTTTTTCTTGTAAAAACTTAAGAAATATAATGACAAAACAATAAATGTACAATAATAGTACCTAAGTAATTATTTCGGCGTGGCGGCAACGATTGTTTTAGATTTCAAAAGAAGCCGGCGCTGTATCATAACCATGTACTTCCGAAAAGCGGCAAATTTCTTTGAGAAGTAAGTACGAAACCTTTGATGCCGCATTATCAAAGTGCCGATGGTTAAAACATTACTATGCACGCACTCAGTTTGATTTTAATAGATATTTTTTTATCGCTATGTTTATGGTACTAGTCCTAATGCGTATAGGTCCAGTTTTTCATATTCTTTGATACAGTTTTTTGCGTTCATAGAATTCCTAAGCGTACCTACCTATACACCGAACTGTTACACCTAGCTACTCAGTGAAATAGCGCTAAGTCCTTGGTGCAAGACGCAAGAGTCTTGCAGGCTATGTCTTGTTCTTGCTCAAGTCTTGCACGGTCAGTCTTGGTCTTGGTCTTGCTAAAAATACGCGGTCTTGTTCTTGGTCTTGGTCTTGCAAAAACGCAAGAACAAGACCAAGACTGAATTTGGGCAACACTAATTAAGAGAGTAATTTTCATGTGTATAAATGTTTCCTATCGAAAACGTCATGTTTTGACACATCGTAACGCCTGATCGGTATTTGGCATTGGCCGAGAGGCTAAAATGTATACTATTACTTTATACACTTCTAAAATCTGTACTATGTTCTAAAATGTATACTTACTATTACTTTATACACTTCCAAAATCTGTACTATGTTCGAGTAACAAAGTATTCACGTAAACAAAAATAGGAATATCTATTTACGTTTGATAAATAATTATTTTGGAGTTAAGTGTAGAAACTTTGTAATCTTTTCAATTTTGTATTGACTGCGACGTACACAGTAGTGTAGTACATTAGCCGGCAGTCACAGTCAGACGGTGTCGTCATGCGGTCCTTTTTAATATCGCTCTGCCTTGCGAGCGCAGTGCACTCACTCAACCTACAATACTTGGATCCAACTAAACTACAAACTCAAGTCCCACCTGAAATTCAAGAACGTACTGCACTAGAAATCATCAAGCAATATTATGCTAACGTAAACGTGAGAGTCGATCCAGTTTATTTTGTCAATAAAAAAGACAGTTTTCATTTAAAAACGTTCAATGGCACCCTGCGTATCAGAGCGAGCAGTGGAGTCGCTGCAACGTGGGGCTTCAACTATTTTCTCAAGAAATACTGCAAGAGCCAAATTGAATGGCAAACAAAACGCGTAGACGTACCTTATATACTGCCCGAAATAGAAGAGACAGTGGTGGCCAACGACAGGTTCCGATACTATCAGAATGTGTGTACAGCGTCTTACAGTTTCGTGTGGTGGAACATCTACGATTGGAGAGACCACGTGCAATGGATGGCCCTCAACGGTATCAACCTTGCGCTAGCACCAGTGGCTCAGGAAGCCGCCTGGACACAAGTCTACAAACAAGTCGGAATGTCTCAAGAAGAAATAGACCATCACTTCACTGGCCCCGCGTTTCTATCCTGGCTTCGAATGGGCAATGTCCACGGCTGGGGAGGACCTCTACCAAAGTCATGGAACGAACTACAAAAGGACTTTCAAATAGATATCATAAATAGAATGCGTAATCTCGGAATCGTTCATGTGTTACCAGCTTTCAACGGTCATGTTCCCGTCGCATTTTCTAAAATATATCCAAATACAACATTCCACAAAGTGGAACAGTGGAACAAATTCGATAATACGTACTGCTGTGGTCTATTCCTGGATCCATTTGACCCTCTGTTCAAGCACATAGGTAAAATGTTTCTCAATGAGATCTCTAAAGACACTCCCGCAAGTCATATATACACTTCCGACCCTTTCAATGAAGTTGAAACCTCGGAGTTCTCCACCGCACTCGTGCAGGAGACGGCAAAAAAAATATTTCAAACACTTTTCGACTTCGACAAGGATGCAGTGTGGCTTCTACAAAATTGGATGTTTGTTAACTCTCCTCTTGCGTGGCCAGTGGTCAGGGTTAAATCTTTTTTAAATTCTGTTCCAAACGGCAGAATGCTGATTCTAGACTTACAATCAGAACAATGGCCGCAGTACGATCTGTATCAAATGTATTATGGTCAGCCGTTCATCTGGTGCATGTTGCACAACTTCGGCGGCACACTGGGCATGTTCGGCAACATGGTCACTATAAACAAGGACGTGTACGAAGTGCGGTCGCAGGCTAACAGCACCATGATCGGCATCGGCCTCACTCCCGAAGGAATCAACCAGAACTATGTGGTGTACGACCTGATGCTGGAGTCTGCCTGGCGCAAGTCTCCCGTCGAGGACCTCAATGCGTGGGTCGCTGACTACGCAGAGAGAAGATACGGATGTAACGAAACAACCGAAGCCTGGAAATATCTGCTCAAAAGTGTTTATAGTTTTAATGGATTAAATAGAGTCAGAGGGAAATACGTCGTCACTAGAAGGCCGAGTTTAAAGCTAAAGCCCTGGGCTTGGTACAAAAGCTACGATTTATTCGAAGCGTTTCGAAAATTCGTTTCCGTTAGTAATACAAGTTGTTACTCGGAAGGGTTTCGTTATGATTTGGTGGATGTGACACGACAAGCGTTGCAATATAGAGTCGAACAGCTCTACATGAATGTCGTCAAAGATAGATACACGAACGTATACATTTATGAAGCTTCTATTAACAGATTCACTGAAGCTCTCTATGATATGGCACAAATATTATACCAAGATGAACATTTCCAGGCTTCTAAATGGTTCGCAAAGGCGAGAGAGTTGGGACAAACACCTGACGAACAAGACTTATACGAGTTTAATGCGCGTAACCAAATCACACTTTGGGGACCAAAGGGGGAAATTTCTGACTACGCTTGTAAGCAATGGGCAGAGTTGATCGTATACTATTATTATCCAAGGTGGGTAAATTTCCTTGATGCTGCTCTTAAGGCGAAGAAAGCTGGTGAAGAATTCAACGAAAAAGACACGCGTCGTGTGATAACAGCGAAAATAGAAGTGCCGTTTGTGACTGCTCGAACGGACAGTGTAACGGGTTCCTCGTCTACAGGATCGATTACTGCGACTTTGGAAGTAGCGAAGAGTTTGTACAGAAAATGGTCGTGTGCTCCTGACGTGGAAGATTTGCCAGTGATTGTCATAGGTTCAGATAAATACAAAAGGACTACTTTAGCTGATGATGACTCGGATAATGAGGAAACGTCAGGGTTCCCGAATGTAATGATTATTTCCACTACGCCTGAGGACTAAACACTGTGGCTGCGTATTACATGTGAGTTATTGAAGGCTTATGATTAAATTACCACCAGATATAGTATACTACTAGCGGTTGCCAGCGGCTTCTTCCGCGTGGATGTCGATTTTACACTTTTCCAAAAAAAAAAAACTTTATGTGCAAACCTTTTCTGGACTTTCCATTACTCTAATTTTTACATGACTGTCCAAAAAAAGAGTGTTATGTTTTTAGGGTTCATTTCATTTTAATTTTACAAGAACATTCTCTTCTAACCATAACAAACACAAATAGTTTGTACCTTGGAAAAATAAGTTTTTATTATAAGTGTGGTTAATTATTATTAGTGCGGGTTAATTCAACTCAAATGTAACATCACGATGACCCTGACAATAATAATGCATTTTGTAAGAAGACTGCTGTAACGCCATTTTGCATGTACTCAAATATAAATTTAAATTAAAAAAAACGCTCATATAGCCAATATCCTCCAGAATTAAATTAATTACGAGAAATTTTAATAGGAGGTAGATAATAGAGAGAGAACTTTAAAGAAACTTCGGTGAGAGGGAAGTGCCAGTCTTAAGTCCTGAATTAATATCACGTCGTTCTCTCTGCTCCGAGCTGGGCCGCGATCTGTGGCCTTAACCCACATCCCCGACTGAGCCATACCCGAGGGTTGTAAAGTGCACAATCGTTGAACTCATCATCGTTTACCACCACGCAAGATAGTGGTCAAAAGACCTAATATATATATATTTATTTATTTTACACTTCTTCCACAATGGCGGACTTAACGCCTTAGGCGTTCTCTGCCAGTCTACCTTTGGGTGGTGGAGAAATAGGAGTGGTAGGTACATCTCTGTTGGAAAAGAAACAAAACACATGCTATAAAATTATCGCTCATACATAAATATCAATATAATATATACATATCTTCTTCTTCCTGCCCTTGTCCCGTTCTATTTGGGTTCGGCGCAATATGTTTTTTTCTTCCATTCTGTCCTGTCACCCGTCACGCTATCACTAACTCCTCTGTCTTCCATATCACTTCTCACACAATCCATCCATATTTTCTTTGGTCTCCCTCTCCCTCTCCATTCCCCCACATTTATAATCATCGTTGTTTTGTAACATGTGTTTCATCCGTCCTTTTTACATGGCCAAACCAAGACAAACGGTTCCCTTTCAACTTTTCAGTCACTGGCGCCACTTTCAAACTTCCTCTAATATACTCATTTCCCACTTTCCATTCTCGTCACACCACACATCCATCTCAACATTCTCATCTCTGCTACATGCTATCGCTTTTCATCCGTCTTTTTCATAGCCCAACTGATTTCTGACCCATACAGTAGGACAGGCCTTATCACTGACTTGTAGATTTTACCCTTCAACCTGAGGGGCATCCATGGGTCGCAAGTTGTTTCGCAAACATATACATATTATATATATTGCATAGATATATATTATACATACCTATGCACATACAACACATACATATTATAATATTCCAGAGAAAAAAATAAATATATATGTATATAAAATTAAAACATTTATTTTATTTGTTTCAGGTGGCCATGGATACGGAGTAAATGAGGAGCGACTCCGGGGAGATGACGATGACGAAGTTATAAAGGCCGATAGAACTAGCAAGTTTTATCGTTGCTATGGCAACCAAAATGTCGTCGTCAACAACGCCAAGATTTCGCGTTTCCCTTCCCGTTGCTCACCTAAAGAATTGCCTTGGCCAGTGTTTAGAAGTGTACGTTCATGTTGCTAAATATACTTATAAATGACTAGCTTCCGTCCGCGGCTTTACGCGCCGTTTATAAAAAGTAGCATTTCAGTAAATCCATGCTATCATCTGTTTACGTACCAAATTTCAACTTAATCAGCCCATCCGTTTTTGAGTGAAAAAATAACAAAAGTACATTTAGAAATTCTCACAAACTCTCAATTCATAATATTACTTAGTATAGTATGATAGTAGGAAGGATTTTGGTAGCTACCCATTTTGGTATTTTTGATGAAACTAATTAACATCTGAAAAAGGTTTTTTAATTTGTAAAAGTAATTCTTAGACCGACAATACATTTTAAGGACGATTCAATGCAAGAAGAGAATCTTTTATAATATTTATCCTACTATAGGTTGAAATATGTTAAAAAGTGCACCTTTTTTGCAGCCGTTTCGGGTTTTTATTTAGTAATCTTTTCGTACGCCTAAGCACTGGCCAAGGCAATAAACTAACTAATGGCATTTTACTATTTTATTTTTCAATTTGTATTCAATAAATATTTTCTTTACTATTATTATTATTTATTTGCTTCATTGGTTGAGTGCGAGTGCCGATTGATCCCCCATCAAATATGGACTTTGTCGTCTTTTTAAGCCCGAAGAAACATTTTTTCTTGAGATTGAACGCCAAACGAGCTAACGTATTACCTGATGGTAAGCAATTAGCACCGCCCATGGGTACCTGTAACAACGGGGTTGCGAGTGCGTTGCCCATCTATTGGGGATTAGAGGTTTAGAGATTTTGGGATTGAGGGAGGGGAAGGATTGGGCCACCGGTAACCTCACTCACACAGCAAGACAGGATAAAATGGGATGGGTAAATAATTGTTAGTTATTACTTCCACATTCAATACGGTAGTTTCCAACTATACTCGGAATTTAAATTCCATTCCAGATTTGACAATTTCAGTGTTGCAACGTTATGACACGTATTAAATAGTAACGTTGCGAAATTATTCGATATGGAAATCGAATATTTCTGAATCGATAATTTAGTTTTGACAATTGATCTGACACTTTTCTTTGGTTTTGGTTTTTGGAAATTAATAAAATGAAGGAACATGACAAAACAGAAATTTTATAAATTGTCGCCGTCATCGCTATCGCTATCGCTGTTACTTTCTGTAACATTTATTATGAATTGTGTCAGTGATATTTATTGTTAATTAACATATATAGCTTACTAATTTTTTCCTCTTCCTTGTCAACATGGGATACGCATTTAGACCATTCGGTAGCCGTAATTTTTTGAATGCCTTCCTGAAACTGATTCACTGATTGTTTATCGATTTTTGTGTTCATCACTACACTGTTATATGTGGTATCATTATTTTACAAAATGACAGTAGGTCATGTCAAATCAGGAATCGAATTAAAATTCTGACATAGTTTAATTCAATCGTTTTATCCTAATGTCAAGAACGATACTATTTTATGACATTTGAATGTAACTTCAAACGACGTAGGTATGACGTCAGTATAGTATTTTGGCGTCAAATAGCTTACCTACTTATTTCTTAAAATTAGGTATATATTCGTACATTTAGTATAGGCAGATCGATGAATAAAAGTAAAGTTCATCATCATCAGCCTATAAGTGCCTACTGCTAAACAAAGGCCTCTTTTCATACGGAGAAGGTTAGAGCATTAATCACCACGCTTACTCAATGCGGGTCCGTATGTCAGTGGTGTCAAAATAATCATACACCACACACAAGTATAATATCTGTAATTCTTGAAGCAATAAAAAAAATATTATTACCTATTATTATAAATTAATTTATGTTTGGTACAGGAAACTACTCAATTGCTATTATTAATATTATACTTTCTTCTCCATAGAAATGGACACTACAAAACACTGCATTAGGGGTCTTTTTTATAGGGGATCATTAAATGATTTCTTCCGCCCTAGGTGAGTGAAAAGCAATGTCAAAATCTTACTGACTTAAAACCACTTTATTCCTTCTGGTGCTGGCCATCAGCTCTTTTGGGTGTGGTGGTCTAATGGCTCTTTGAGGCGAAGGCTTCCTTGAGGACACGGCGGTGCTCAGCTCAAACAGGGCACATTGCCACTAACTTAGAGGCCACTACAACTTTAGCATTAACCCACAACTTTAGGAAGGTTTGTAGTGTAACAGAGCCTTGGAGTCGCAGATTTTTTAGAATTAAGAAATCAATTTGGTCACGCTTCACGCCCCAGCTCCAGCCAGGAGACGCTCCGGACAACAAGGATTGCGCGACAAACCAGCTACCATAAACCAGGGTCTACGGATGGCGAGTAAAGGCAACAGGCCAGGCCAAAACCAAAACCTAACGCGCGCCTTGAAGTACCATCAGAATACCATAGATGTGGTCCACTGGAGCCTGATGATCCAGGGTCACAGGTGCAAGCATGTACCGCGAGTCAGAATCGGAGCAGATGAAGGAACGAGATAACTTTTAGTCAGGGAGAAGGCAGTTGAAGCCACGAAAATAATAAAAAAAATAGCGATAGCAGGCTATAGGCTAGCTCGGAGGTCAAGGAACCAAATCAAATCAAATCAAAATCATTTATTCCAAATAAACCATAAATAGGTACTTTTGAAACGTCAAAATAGAATAGTAGTCTGTCAGTCTGTTCGTCAGTGAAGCTAGGTGCTCGTTCCAAATTGTAGTTTCGAATGGAGAAGAACGAGCAAGAAACTCCATCGTTACTCTTTTAAAAAAATATTTGTTTTACAATTCATCTATAATACATTTTTTATACATTACTGTACCCCTATGTCAGAACAATGCAGAGACAAGTTGTTAATAAAAAGGAACAAATTATGGTCTATTTAATCTATCATTAAAATTTTAATCCTTTGTTGTCTCGTACATGGCGCTCACATATGCGTACTCACAATCCAAAAGAATGCTTCTATATAAACTCATTCAAGGTTTCATTAATTTTGAGAATTTTAATAACTACTGACTACATATTTGAGAATTGTCCAGTGGAGCCGAACCAACATGCTGCCAGGCATTCTTATCCTCAATATAATCTGAAAGTTTGTAGTATGCCTGTCTACATAATTCGCGTTTAATATAAGTTTTAAATTTTCGTTCATTAAGATTTAATACACTTCTTGGAATTTTATTGTAACAATTTACACAGAACCCCATAAAGGATTTCTGTACTTTGGACAGGCGGAATCGTGGCACAGCCAGCCTATCTTTGCCTCTAGTATTAAAATTGTGTCTATCGCTTCTTTTTTCAAATAATTGCAAATTTTTCCTTACGTCATAATATTTTCATATATAAACTGACAAGGTACCGTTAGGATATTTATCGTTTTAAATAGTTCTCTCAGAGATTCACGAGGGGACAAGTTATATATCGCTCGGATAGCCCGCTTTTGCAAAATAAATATTGAATCTACTTCCGCAGCTCGACCCCATAGCAAAATTCCGTACGACATAATGCTGTGAAAATAGCTAAAATAAACAAGCCTTGCTGTGTTCACGTCTGTGAGCTGTCTAATCTGTCTAACTGCAAAAACAGCTGAGCTCAGTCTTCCCGAAAGCGTCTTTATGTGGGAACCCCATTGAAGTTTATTGTCTAGCGTAATACCTAGGAACATAGTCTCGTTAACAAATTCTAACTTTTGCCCATTTAAAATTATGTCACAATCATTATTGTGTACGTTGGGCAAGCTAAATTTAATACATTTTGTTTTTTTCTCGTTAAGTGCTAAATTATTGACTGTAAACCAATTATGAACTCGATGAATGGAGCTGTTTACTTCGTCCAAATTATTAACACGTCGACCTATTCTAAAAATTAATGATGTATCATCTGCAAACAGCACCATTCTTGGCTCGGTTTTAAATAGAAATGGCAAGTCATTAACATAAACTAAGAAGAGAAACGGACCCAAAATTGAACCTTGCGGTACGCCAATTTTTATCTCAGAGCCCCGTGAGTTAGAACCACCTACATGAACTCTCAGCTGCCTATCCTCTAAATATGACTTTAATAGACGGAGTGCAGTATGTCTAATCCCGTAATGATCTAATTTCAGCAAGAGTGTTTCATGATCAACGCAATCGAACGCCTTTGAGAGGTCGCAAAAGACACCAACAGCATCCTGTGCTTCCTCCCAAGCACCGAATACCTCCTTTATCAAAGTGACACCGGCGTCAGTTGTACAACGAACCCGCTCCTCATTCATGAGGGTGTTGTTTTTTTGTGACGGGAAAATCATCAAATGACTTCTCCTCAATGAGGGAGTGTCAGACTCTTTCTGACTAAAAACCCCCCTGTTCCTTCTCCTGCTCTGGGCCGAGGACGCGGTGCCTCATTGCGCTTACCCTTCAACCCCGGCTGAACAACAGCCCTTTAGAGCCCCGTCTGTGGAGGTCTATTGGCTCTGTAAAGCGCGCGCGAAACGCTACGCGCCGTACGCTCTGGTCTGGTTCTAGTCGGGCGGCAAGTTGCCCTTACTCGCCGTCCGCAGACCCGCATGCATGAGGGTGTGGGTTCGAAACCTGGCAAGTACCAATGTGACTTTTTCCGAGTTATATGTACTTTCTAAGATTATTTAGACACCACCGACATACGGTGAAGGTAAACATCGTGAGGAAACCTGGACTTATAATTTCTAATTATAAGTTTGAAATCGCCAATCCGCATTGAGCAAGCGTGGTGATTATTGCTCTAACCTTCTCCGTATGAGAAGAGGCCTTTGCTCAGCAGTGGGCACTTATAGGCTGATGATGGTGTACATACATTTCTTAAACAAAACAACCGATTCGTTGATTTTTAAATCGATCAGAGTTTAGCAAACGGTTCTAAGTCCCATCTAGGTACCTGCAAGATCTCTGCTGTATGGCGTCATTAAGAGAAAATAATTATGTTATTATTCTTAACCCCATAATAATCGCTTAATCATCCATTTATAGAGCAAGAATTTATAACAACTAACGTTTATTTTTGTAATTCTATGCTTTGTGTTGTCATAAGCACAATAACAACAATATACACATGTATTTTTTTTTATTTATTTAATTATGTGGCATTGAACAATACATAGACGCTTATAGAAGTTCACTGTAAACCTTAGTTCGAACTAGACGTTATAATGTGGCTGTCCTCACTGTTAATAGTGTTTCTAGTACCATTTCCTGTATCATTACTCAATTTGGAGTACCTGGATCCAACAAAACTACAAACAGTGGTTCCAGCTCACGTCCAGAAGAGAGCAGCCCTACATATCATACGGCGTTACTCAAAAAAAGTATACGTTGAAATCGATCATCTCTGGTTTTATAACCTCAGAGACTCATTTAACATAAAGACCACTGATGGATTTTTAATCATCAAGGCTAGCACAGGAGTAGCAGCAGTCTGGGCCTTCAACTATTACCTCAAGAAATACTGTAAGAGCCAAATTGAATGGCAGACCCAGAACATTAATATTCCAAGCGTCCTACCATTCGCAGATGAAACAGTTATAGCAAATGACCGATTCCGATACTACCAGAACGCGTGCACCGTATCTTATAGCTTTGTCTGGTGGAACATCAACGATTGGAAGAAGCACATAGAATGGATGGCTTTGAATGGAATCAATTTGACATTGGCGCCTGTGGCTCAGGAAGCTATTTGGGCGCGGATATACAGCAAACTTGGCATTCCAAAAAAAGAAATAGAGAAACATTTCACCGGGCCAGCGTTTTTAACTTGGCTGCGAGCTGGCAACATTCATGGCTGGGGCGGGCCACTGCCAACCTCGTGGCATAAGCTACAATCACAGATACAACTAATTGTTATTGACACCTTCCTGAATCTTGGCATTGTGCCTATATTACCAGCGTTTAATGGCCATGTACCTGTAGCATTCTCCCGGTTATATCCAAACGAAACGTTCTACACTGTGAAGCCATGGAGTAACTTTGGTTTCGACTACTGCTGCGGTTTATTTGTTAATCCGCTTAGTCACATGTTTACAAAATTAGGTATAATGTTCCTAGAAGAAATGGGTGGCATTCCAGGTTGCCACTTATACACATCGAATCCGTTCAATGATGTTATTTTATCTGACTTCAATACAGAGTTGGCGGTAAACACAGCTGAAGCAGTTTTCACAACGCTAACAGAATTCGATCCTCGAGCCGTTTGGGTTGTGCAAAATTCTATGTTTGATAATAAGTGGCCAAATCAAAGAGTTGAGGCATTTTTAGACGTAGTGCCGAATGGAAGAATTCTTATCCTTGATCTGCAGTCAGAAAGGTTACCAAAATATTACATTTTGAATATGTATTATGGTCAGCCGTTCATCTGGTGCATGTTGCACAACTTCGGCGGCACACTGGGCATGTTCGGCAACATGGTCACTATAAACAAGGACGTGTACGAAGTGCGGTCGCAGGCTAACAGTACCATGATCGGCATCGGCCTCACTCCCGAAGGAATCAACCAGAACTATGTGGTGTATGACCTGATGCTGGAGTCTGCCTGGCGCAAGTCTCCCGTCGAGGATCTCAATGCGTGGGTCGCTGACTACGCAGAGCGAAGATATGGGTGCAAAGCCAATGAAGCTTGGGAATTCTTACTTAAAAGTGTATACAGTTATGAAGGATTTGGGAAAATAGATGGGTCGTATATAACGACTAAAAAGCCGAGTTTTAACTATAGCCCTTGGGCTTGGTACAATAGTACTGATCTGTATCAAGCATTGAATAATTTACTTTTCGTAAACAACAGCGTATGTGATTCTCAAGGATACCGCTACGATGTAGTGGATCTGACGCGACAACTTTTGCAATATAAAATCGAGCAGATATTTCTTAAACTGGTGAATGATCTGAACACTAGTAAGTTTCAGGGGACTGTAGAAATGTTTTTGGATGCATTTGATGATATGGCGATGATCCTAGCTACTGATAGTAATTTCTTAGCTACAAATTGGTTTCAGAAGGCAAGAGATTTGGGTAACACAACCGAGGAAGCGGATTTATTTGAGCAAAATGCTTGGAAGCAAATAACAACGTGGGGTCCTAATGAACAACGTAACGACTACGCATGTAAGCAATGGTCAGAAATGGTGGCGTTCTATTACAGGCCGGGGTGGGCGAAATTTTTGTATGACACAATCAAAGCTAGAAATAGAAATAGAGAATCAACGAAACAAGCAGCAAATGTGAAACTAAGACCAGTGTACAACACGAAGAATGTTCTGCTACGCGGCAAAAGGCAGAAAAGTCCTTATGGTATGGCTCAGCGGTTATACTACAAATGGAGGTCGATTCCTGGTCTTCAAGATCTGCGTGTATTTACCGCCTTGAATACAGTTGAACCGAAAACTGCCAAAGGAGGAGATAATTATGAAGCAGATTACGTAATGGATAATTAAGGAGTATGCAATTATTAAATGAGCTGATCGATTGGATTTCTTTTAAAAAAAATATGAAAATTTAAAATTGATAAATTTAAGTTTAAAAAAGCCCCGACAAAATATCTCATATTCCTTTAAAAAGTAATAAACTTTAGAAAACGTGGCGTTGGGGGACCGATCCAAACATTTTATTATCAACTACATATCTCTATTCTGTCGGGGGTCTAATTTATTTTTTTATTTTATTAAGTTAGATTAGTTTAGTTTTAGAGTAGAATAAGTCATCAACATTCCCGTTCAGTGCGCTTTCATTTGAGACCCAAATCGAATGTGCTGGCTTAAATTCTTTTTTTGTTGCTAATATTTCTTGGTCAGAATATTTGACCAGGTAGATTTTATTATAACGTAGGTACTCTTACTGTGATTGGTTCGAGAGACGATCTCCCGCCATCGTGAGCGCGGGTCTGCGGACGGCGAGTAAGGGTATCTCGCCGCCCGACCAGAACCAGACCCGAGCCGTACGGCGCGTAGCGTTACGCGCTCGCCTCGAAGAGCCAATAGACCACCACAGACGGGGCCCTAATCGGGCTGATGTTCAGCCGGGGTTGCGGGGCAAGCGCAATGAGGCACCGCGGCCTCGGTCCAGAACAATAGAAGAAACGGGGGGGTTTTTAGTCAGTAAGAGTCTGACACACCCGCTCAGGGTGGGAGAAGTCATTTGATGATTTTCCCCTCACCAAAAAGAAACTGTGGTTGGTTTTATTATACCTACTAACATTTTGGCAGACGTACCTAATAGTTAGTTAATATAACTTCGTGTTATATCGTTAGAGGATATACTGGTGCCAATTAAAATCCACGAAGTTGCAAATCTTTGTATATTCAAAAATATGTGAGCGTTACAAAATGATGTACCATGGTCGGCGGTCTAGTAGGAAGTGAACGAGACAGTGGCAATTTTCAAACTACGTGAATCTAAATGCGCCTACCAAAAATACACATGCAACATTTTACTATCTGTATGTACTTATTGAGTTTTAATAAAGTAAGGCGTTACTATAAAATTAATAATAATCTTAAAACTAAAAGGCTATAAAGCCTGAACACTTCGTCTATATTAAGCATATAATACATATCATAAAGCTGTAAAGTTTGTTTGATTGCGCTAATCTCCTGAAGTTCTCGTTCGAATTTAAGGTTTTGTGTTTCTTAGACCACTTATTAAGGAAGGCTAGAATAAAACACCACTTTAGGAGCCGAGCAGCGAGTGAAAACACGTCAACAATCCTTTATTAAAATTATATTTAAGTGTGGGTGAGCCATGCGGCACGAATGGGCCGGCTGAAACGGAGAGATACTACGACTTCACTGAACACCGGCGTGAAACAACCGCTTTCGCTAGGTGAGTGAGGTTACTGGAGGCCCAATTCCTCCCTCTCTCCCAATCCCTTCACAATCCTTAAATATCCGAAACTCTTATCCCCTAAAGGGCCGTCAACGCGCTCGCAACTAAGTTTTGGTGTTGCGGGTGTCCATGGACGGCGCCGATTACTTACCATCAGGTAATCAGACTGCCCTTTTTTGTAGAAGTCATCAATTTTGTCTTTTATTGCATTATGATTTATTAAAAGATATTTTTGGGAGCTGCACCTGGATTTGCACATAAAATAATTAAAAACAACTCTCGTTTAATATATTAATAGTTTAATATATTAATAATATTAATAGTAAGTTGGGCTGCTGGTCAATTCCAGACGAAGGTCACTCATACCCTTTTCCTATCTTATTAATAGACAAAGGTAACAAGATGTGTTAAAGAGGGTTTTTTTTGCAAGGGCAAGTTCTTTAAAATTCCTCTTGCCATACTGAGTGGGAGGTGAAAGGAAGCGTCAGACTATTGGTGACTAAAAGCCTTTCTATGCTTCTCCTGCTTTGAGCCAAGCCTGGGCACATGGTGCTACCACCCGCAGCCTTGGCTGAGATGAAGGTAGAGCGTTTCACATAAAAAAAATCGTTAAATTAGAGCTAAGAAGGACCTTTTGGTATATGATGTTACGATATTTATATGTGGTAGTCGTGGTGGCCCGGATGTTAAGGTTCGAAACCTGGCAAATACCAATGTGACTTTTTCCGAGTTATATGTACTTTCTATGATTAGGTATATAGACACAACTAACATTCGGTGAAGGAAAACTTCATAAGGAAACCTGGATTTATAATTTCTAATTATAGGTTTGAAATCGCCAATCCGCCTTGAGCAAGCGTGATAATTAATGTTCAACCCTTCTCCGTGTGACAAGAGGCCTTTGCTCAGCAGTAGGCACTCATAGGCTGATGATATGATGTATGTGCGATATTTATATAAGGAGGAACACCTTAGAGGTATTTTTCTAATAATATTATTAATCAAGGATAAGTAGGAACTTAGACTAACATCACCGTGCGCCAAAAAGATGGGGCACAAACTCGCGGGGCGGTCAGCTTTTTATTTTAGAAAAAAGAGCGCCATTTTTTTTTCACTAAACATATAATTAGGACCAGCACTGTGGATCTGACGATATGAAAACAAAACAAAAGTAGGTATAGTATTTAATTTTTCTTATATTTTGTTCTTATATGGTTTCAATATAAATTGGACACAACATTGCATACATCTAGGTATACTTTTTTTTACTAAGAACCAGTTTTAAATATCTCTTGTAACTTCCCCTTAAATGAAATGTAACTGGAAGGTAGTACATATTTCGAGTCACTGTTATCTGGTGGTTAGGTAGATTAAAACTGGCTATTAGTGTATTTTTGAAACTTAGATCATTTTATTTATGCGTCTAAATAATGTCAATAACACTTTGAGACGGTGACTACGTTCTTCAAGTTCATATGGAAGAGATGTTTTCGTATTTTAAGAAACGAAAATGACGTCTGGCATCTAAAATGACGCATATTTCCCTAATTTTAAACATTTTAATTTTTTCAGTGACTAATCTAGAAATTTCGTTTCGAGTGTATAATGTTGCCATTTTATAAAACAAAAATGTGACTAAACAACTTCTTAATTAAAAAAAAAAAACTATTTCAGATTAATTTTTATTTTATTTCACGATGGGTTTGAGTTTTTTAAAGCCTATCAAGACATAAATAATCTAAGTTTTTTTTTGTTTAATCTTAATGAGTCTTACATCTGATTACATTAGGTAAGTCTTAGCACCATTGATGTATTGTTACAGCACGAAATGCACTTACAAATCAACTAAGTTTGTTTACTATCGCTGTCCTTTAGTTACAGTTCCAAAAAGAAAAAGACAGAGATGTTTTTCTTATTCTATCTAAGTATTTTAGATTGAAACTGCATAGTGTCACTGAACTAAAGAGATGAAAGGAGTTCATGTCAATTCCTTCTATATTAATAATACAAAGATCAAGATACCTTATCAAAATGGCTTATTTTTTTGACACAGTAACGAAATTTTCCTATTAAACCAAAACTAGTTACAGTCCCTTGAAGTCTAAACAAATCGAACAAATGCTAGCTGGTTTGAATGACAAAAATCAATGTTCTTGTATGTTGTATATAGGTATGTCAATGCCAGCCAAAACTAACTATACTTACAAAAACTAATAACTTATTCACTCGTATATATAGCTTTTACACCATCTGGTTCTTAACATTGATGAATTTGTTCAAATCTATTGAGGCACGACAAAATAGACTAAAAATCTTTTAACGCTTCTTTTTTCATAAAAAATAATAATAAATAAAAATTCTCAGTTGATCTACAAGTGAATCAGCACCTTATTACTTAGAGATAAAATACAATTAATATAAAATATCAGATACATGCGTGTAAATAACGTTTAAAAATAGTCTAGAAATTACTAAACAACCTTTATAATATATTCATGCAGGTAAGTTGAGAGATTCCGTTTTCTTTGTATAACAATAATTCTTGGATTATTGGTTGGGTAATGCATTGCATTTTGTTTTTATTTCGTCCGCATTTTGCCTCTCATTTGTAATATTGGTCATAGAATTGTCTAGCTAGACCAAAGAGTGCCAAATTCATCAGAACGATTCCATTGAAGTTAGAATTTTGGTATAGCAATAGCAATTTGTAGCGGTCCAAAATTAATGTCGATAGGCAAATGTCTAAGATCTTCTCTTACATAAAAAATAATCAGTAAATCATTGAGGTCTGTTTACCAAGAATCATCTTATTCCTACTTACAATATGGTAATTTGAAAATAACATCTTTGGGACAGTGATTCCGATTTTAAACCTATGTCATACCAACGTGTCGAGTACGTAGCCTGGGCTGCCGTAGGTAAACGGTTGGCTTAAGTTTGTTTGGTCTAGAACAGGTACGTAGCTGTCTTGCAGAAGAATGGGTTGACGACTCGACGCTTCATTGAGTTGTCTTTCTAAAACAGTGTTCTGCAATTCTTCTTCTTCTAACTCTAGGGTCAATTCATCAAGAAGTTTCATCCTACTCTCAATTTCGCTGTCTGCTTTTGCCAGTTCTATTGCATTTTCCTGCATCTCTTTAGCCGTATTCATAAGCTCCTGTTCAATTTTGTCCAGAAGCATCGTCACTTGAGATACATTTTCACAACTGTTTGCCTTGTTTTCGTCCATATACCTTTTAACTTTTGCTGTTAGTCTAACAACTAATTCTTCTTCCCGATGAAGTCTTTTGTTGACTATTGCTAGTTTTTCCAACATGTCAATTTCTTCTCGTATTCTTGAGAGCTCATCGGCTGATGCTTCAGAGTCTGTGTCGTTTTGTGTTTGCATTAGTCTCTCGGAATTAACCTGGCATATGTCTGTAAGTTCTTTTGTGAAGTAATGTTCTCTCATGAGGTGTCTTTCTCGTCTGGATTTGTGTTTCGTGTGTCTTCTGGGAGGAGTTCCGCTACCGACGCCAACACCACTATCGCTGTTACCAGCTTGACTATCGTTTACTTCACTACATCTGCCTAAGTCTCTTAGGTATGATTCGAGAAGGTAATTGGTGCCGTGTTTCTCCATGCGATTCTTGTGCGTCTGGTCTTCTAAGTGGTCGATTAGTTTTTCTTGTTCTCTGCAACAGTAAAAGAGATTGATTTAGTCAATATAGAAGAGAAAGCGTCTGTTATTAAAATTGATCATTACTGGTAAATACAAAGTTAATGTTGTTGACGATCAGTTATAAAACTTAGAAGAATTTCAATTAGAAGGTTAAAAGTTAAGTAATATGGACTAGTACCTTAATTTATCAAGTTGTTGATGTATAGTTCTGCTTTGATGCTGGATGACTGACACAAGTCTGGCTGCCGGATCTTCACTCCTGGCTCTGGGAGGTGGAGTGGCAGTTCTGAGGCCTCGTCTTCTGCGCCGTCGTGCTCCACTTCGACTGCCACCATCACTGTCTCGACCAGAGTCATCCTCTCCACCACTTGAGACTCGCCGAAGAGCCAAACGAACCTTGAAAAGTAAACAGAATCAGTGATTTTTGTTTTGATCAAGATATACACTATATAAGTTAATATTTCCAGTATTAAATTGACCAGTTTTGGGTATCACATTTGACTTAATTATTTTCATAATTCGATCTCAATGTTCGCTCAATCTGCAGCGAGAAAACTACAGATAATATTGTAGAATGAACAATGCATCAATAGAAATTCAATTCTGGTTGAGTGTTTTACAGCCTTGGATTTAAGTGAACTATTAATTATTGATACTGACCTCGTGCCTAGCGTCTCCCCAAGCCGCCAAGACATGGAGAACTGGTACATCTGGTGGAAGTGGTCTCTCAACTCCTCGCCACCGTTCTGCCAGCACCCATTCGCCGTGGTCGCTGACTCCACCTCCAGCTGTTAAGCAAATATTAGGATCGAGGATAGTGATGGTGCAATGCCTTTACTATTTCATCATCGATTGGAAGTATTATACTTTTGAATAAAGGGCTATACTAACTCCATGTAATGGATGTCAAAAAAAAAAACAAATTTATATTGAACATAACGTTGAACGCTATTTCATTTGCATCTATAAATTTAAGATAATTAAAATAATCTTCATCTCTACCTTCAGGAGCATCTTGTAGAGCTCTGACGATGTCAGCACAAGTGGTATGTGACCTCACTCCTCGGACCCATAGCTTCTGACCTCGCGCTAGTACACCGACCTCTTCGTCACTGTAGTCTGATGAGGATCCCTCCATATTCAGATCCTGGAAAAAAAAAGAAAATCATAAATTTTCTTCAATTAAGGAACGAATTTACAAATTAAAATTATGTAATGAAGTATCATAATTGTAATTATATGCTATGTTCTTTCTTTGGCAAGACCACATTCGGCTACATTGTGTTAATAGACCAATAACGAATAGATATTTTCTAACAAAACAATCCGTCTCTTAATCCGTTTGTACTTGAAAGTGTAAATTCCTGCAACGAAACCCAAGCAAAAAGACTTAATACCTTCCTAATACTAGATCCTAGACTAATTCAACATAACTTTAGCACTATAAAGATGGCTTGGAACATAAAGTAAACCTTATCATATAAAACAAAATTGCACCCCACACCACGACAGGGGTCGGCACCCACAGGTACGGTGTTCTCGTGAAAATTTCACCCTTTCATCGTCAATAATGGCTTGGCAAACTTTGCCATCGAATCACGTAAGCCTGCATAAGTTTGCACAATTTTGGTGCCAGTCCGTGGCACGTTTGGCAAGGGGTTGCCAGGAAACTAACCATTACCGGCTTCGTTCAAGCTTTTGCATGTAATGCACTAGCAAAATGGATGTCGATTTTCGGAAATTGTTTGGTTATTTACATAATAAAGGGGTGGCCGAAGGATATTTGTTAGTCTGGAAGGTAGTTTCTTGTTTTGGTGCAATGCAGTAGCTAATGATAGACATTTTCAAATATCTACTGCAAGATTTGAGAGGACCCGTAAATCGATAAAAAGGAAGGTTCTGTTAAGCTTACTTATCAGGAATGAAGTTCAAACTGAACCTAACGATTTAGTTCATCATCCCCATCAGCCTATAAGTGTAAGCGCCCACAGGTTAGCAAAGGCCTCTTCTTAAACGGAGAAGGAAGATTGTTCAAGGCACTTTAGCGATTTGAAGCATAAATATAATTAGAAATTATAAGTCCAGGTTTCCTCACGATTTTTTCCTTCACCATATTGACAGTGGTGTTTAAATAATCATTGAAAGTAGATATAACTCGGAAGTCATCACATTGGCACTAGCCAGGTTTCGATCACAATTAACTTGGTCATAAAGTTAAAACCTCAATTTACCAGGCTCGGAAAAATAAACTACCATAAAATACAATAAAAACACCTACTCATTTCAGATATTGTAGCTTAAATCACGAATAGCGTGTTTGAACAGCTCAAAACGTGATGGTGGTAGACGAAAAAACCCATATATACCTTAATATATTTCTAGGAACTTTCAACGTGGTGGTAATTTGGGTGGGTTGTTCGTGACAAACCACCATTAGGGGTTTCCGCCACCCCGTGGCACCCCTGTATTCCAACCCCATTTAGGGCGATGCCCGGTGTTTTTATGTTAAATATTTTCTTTTAGGGTGTCTACATTTTTGGCGCCATGTCGGTCCTACTTTGTGCTTTTAGCATTAATACATATAAAGTTTATAAACTCAGTATGCTCGAATTTGAAATACTTTCATTTTAGATTCACACTTGTCTTTTGGGCTACTTCTACTGATTTCCTTGTGCATGCTTTTTATATATAAAAACAATCGATTTATGAGTTTTAAATATATCCGCACGTTACTAGGTAGTCAAAAACTACTTAAATCATAGTATAGGTTCTAGGTATTTCGTTTTCATAAAATTAAAGTACAAGATTCAATCTAGATCAAATTGGTCCTTACTTAAAGGCCATGTCTTGAACTTTGGAATGTTTTACCTTATGCTAGTAAATGGTAAGTTCAGCTGTAATAATATCAAAGAGCAACTTCTTACGTAGAGGAGGGCGTGGTCACTCCTCTTGTATTTAAGAGTATCTGCTTATTGTTTTATTTCTTACTAGCTTTTGCATGCGACTCAGTTCGCGTGGAATAGTGATCTCCAGCAGATTTTTCTTATAAAAACTATTCTCGAGTTCCAAACTATGTCTGTACCAAATTTCACAAATGCGGTTCTGTAGTTTAGGCGTGAAAACAAGACTATTAGTTTGGATTGATTTCCAAACGTTTGTAGGAGAATATCTATTCACATTTTTGGACACTTAATAATTAATTTCTTATTTCTGTTTTTATTTTAAAAAACCTCTTTATTGTTGCAAGCAGTTGCAACTTACGTTACCTACACATTTTTTTTTTCGTCATACTATTTAGTACCTATTTCACTAGATACAATCATATAAGTAAGTAGGTAGAAGATTAAGATATGTGGCACATATTTATACAAATGATTTACGATATACCAGTGTGTCCGCTATATTTTTGCATAGGATTAGGAACTAATAGTGAGGCATCTTTTTTTTTTAAAACAACGACATATTCACCCGATCTCGGCGAGGTCTAACTTATAAAAGCGTCGCGGCTAATTGCGCTCTACTCATGAATAAGATTCCCGTTGTTACTTGAAACTAGTAGAGCTTTTCTCGAATAACAAAAGTGAGTAAGTCGTTATTCAAACTGGTTTATTATTATATTGGCTATGCAGATATTATGAAACTGGAATTGCCATTTCGCTATTAAATATTTCTCGATTTTTTAAGTAACCTGTAATAACACAACAAAATATTAATTAAAATAAGTCGTTTAACTTAAATGTAAATACTTACGCATATTTTAATTTGTAATTACCTACACCTATCGACAGAATGAACTAATATGTAAATTAATATATAATGAACTTATAATTTCAGTTCATTCTCTTATTTTAAAAGACATTTTGATAATTCAAATTTTCTGATTTTCTATAACAAATGTTATCGATAAGCTATTTCCATCACTAGAGCGCAAATTATCGGCAGTCCTTGCCCGGCGTAATAACAGAGCGAACGCCGCTCCCGCACGCAAGGACGAACAGAATTATAATGTACACACGGACTTACATTATACACAACAAAACCAATATTCATTTTACAGATACTTTCGCCCGCGTGGTATCTTGATAAACAACAGTATATGTGTTTACCCAAGGTATGACCTATCTTCATACCCAAATTCAACCGAATCGGTCCAGGCGTTTTTGCGTCAAAGAATACCAGACATACATCAATACACCATACATTCTCACAAACTTTTACATTTATAATATACTAGCTAATCTCGCGCGGTGTCACCCGCTGCTCGGCTCCTTATGATCGTAAGCGTGATGTTATATAGCCTATAGCACTCAGGAACATTGTAGCTATCTATCAGTGAAAGAGTTTTGGCAATCCGACCAGCGGTTCCAAAGATCCTCCAAAGAGCCTCCTACATCCAAACTTACAAACTTACAAATTTTACCTTTTTATAATATAGTATAGATCTAGTAGTACAGTAGGATTTTTAATATTACTTAGTAGGATTAATTCTAAAAAAAAGTTACGATTCTATTTTTAAATTTTGGTCCTAGACATCCTAAAACTTCGAGCGGCAACTAAGAACTGAGCAGCGTATTCTGAAATTCCCTAATTTCTACCAAATATGGGGATCATGGCTAACCCCCTATAATAAGGTCATTTCGCTAGCACGCAACGTACCTACTAATCACCTTATAAGTTTTTTTTATTAGGCATATATATTGTGTGTGTGCATAAAGTTTATTTACTGCCGTTACACACTGCCGGATTAAGACATCTTATAAGATTCGTGATTGTGTTAACAAAGTATTATTCAAGTGTGGGAGAGCCATGCTTCGGCACGAATGGGTCGGCTCGACCTGAGTGATGCCACGGCCTTACAGAAAACCGGCGTGAAACAACCACAGCGTTGTGTTTCGCCGTGTGAGTGAGGTTACCGGAGGCCCAATCCTTCCCCACCCCGATCCCTCCTCAATCCCTAAATCTCAAGGTCGGCAACGCACTCGTAACTCCTCGGTTGTGGGTGTATATGGGCGGCGCTGATTACTTATCATCAGGTAATCCGTCTGCTCGTTTGCCGATATATTACATAAAAAAAAATATCCCATTAAGGATTCCCATTAGGGATAATACTTTGTTAACGCGAGGACTCAAGTTACGGTTAACGATTATTTTGACAGTTAGCCCAATCTGTGTTGCTGTTGTAAGCAGGAGAAGGAACAAGGTGGGTTTTAGCCTGACCCACCATCTTGCTCTAGACAAGGCGACAGAATTAATTTAATAATTTTCACCCTCAAAATAAACCTCTGCTATATCAGCCTCTATGGATAACAATAGTTACATAAGGAAAGTGGATACGTAATTGGTGCCTACCAATTACTTAAATTGACAGCCGTAATGGCTATTAATAAAGTTTCGTCGGGGGTGTTGTGTTTGTCAATAATGTACTTACAAATAATTTATAGTTTTCTAGGTCAATTGTCCAGTTTGGAATTTTCTAGAAATATTTTTAGTGTCTGGTTTACATTATAGATTTTCTTCACTACAAAATCGTTATAAGCACAGTGACTAAACACTTGAGGTCTTTTTAAAACACCTGAATAGCCGCGTTTGCGTCAAATATATTTAATTTAGAATGTAATCTATATGAACTAAGTACATTCGTTTGTACCGTCACATTACATTATTGCGCTTAAGGGCTCATTTTTATATGTATATAAAAATGTTGCTGTCACTGTCTTATACAAACATTCTGATGCGACAGCTTCATAATTATTCCCCAGATTACTTTTATCCAACCATTGAAAAATCAGCCCTTAATCCTAGTAGCATAGAAGCTTATTCTTGTTTTTTAATAACAGAAATAGTCCAATTGGTCCAGTCGTTCCCGAGTTTAGCGCTGAACAAATATATTTTGCTATTATTTTTCATACAGGAGTAATAAGTTTGACGATTTATTTGACCGTGTGTCCGTAACAAAATAAGTATTGTAAACAAAGAAGTATGAGTTTAATAATCTTCGCCAGTACCTAAATGTACAATTTGAGAGATCGGTAGCAGATGCTACTTCCAACGAAGCTTTTTCTTAGAAATGGGTTTTATACCAAAGAGAATATTTATTATACTCATCTTAAATTGTCCTCCATTGATAAGTTTTTTCGATGCTGCTCGTTCATATTTTCCTGCCAATTTTTATAATTAACGTTTGCTTTTATAAGGGGAAACGTTTCGAATTACTTTTCGCACCCTGGATGAGGCCAGGAGTGTCAGACCCTCTCACTGACTAAAAACCACCCCGATCCTTCTTCTGGTAGAAGCTGGGGCCGCAGTATATTATTACGCCAACCCCGTAATGAAGGCCGTTTACACCGATTTAATACACGGAACTGCCTAAGTTCGTGATGCTTAACTAACCAATCTGCTGATTTTACAAGCGTGGTGATTTATGTTGATTACTTCTTTAAGAAGAAAAGGGTTTTCAATTGAAAAAAAAAAGATTAAGAGAAGAGCTTTTAAGGTCTAAAATGGTTATTATTAAGTATAGAAAATAAAATATCAGTTCAGTAAATCTACTTATCAGTTTTTTTAATACCTATTACCTACGTACCTATTCAGTAATTGTGCAGGTATAACTACCTACTACAGATTCGGTTGTAATTCATCCAAATTACCTACGAAAGAAACTGGTCATAATTATAGAAAATGGCTTGTTCGGTGGCACGAGCCAAGTAACCTAAAATTATATTTTTTCTTAGAATTGGCCAGATTTTGATGATAGCTAATGACTCTACTGAGTGGGTTATTTTTTACCTGAGCTCTGTAACCGGCTTAGGGCTTCTGTATGAATATTAATGAAACAATAACACGGCTGATCTTTCCTTTATTTTTGAAGTCAGGCAATGAAAGCATTAGGTTAATACCAGTTATGATTTTTTTTTGTTTTTTGTCTAACTTATCTTTTAGTCGTAGTGGCCCTGAGGTTTAGTCGTCCGCCTTTCATGCATGAGGGTACGGGCTCGAAACCTGGCATATGTCAATGTGACTTATTCCGAGTTATACATAAGTAGGTAGGTACTTTCTATGATTATTTAGACACCACTGGCATACGGTGAAGGAAAAATATCGTGAGGAAACCTGGACTTATTTTTATTAGATTTCTAATTATAAATTTGTTATCGCCAATCCGCCTTGCGCAAGCGTGATGATTAATGCTCAAATCTTCTTCGTGTGAGAAGTGGCCTTTGCTCAGCAGTGGGCACTTATAGGCTGATGATGTGATGTATTATGTCATATTTTTAATACCATGAACGCCATCTTGGACCACAGTGTCTGACGCAAGCGAAAAATTCTAGGACAACAGTTTTTAATAAAAAAAAATTTAAACTGATTCGTATTATCAAATGATTTCGTCATGGATTATAAGTTATATTGAATTTATTGGCGGTGTTTATTACTTTTATGATGGTATTACAGTTTAATAAATTTACCTTTAAAGTAACTAAGTAAACGAAAATTATTTTAAAGATTTTGAAAAAAACCTTCGCAGATTTGTACTATTTTTATAGTGTTGTACCTACCTCGGTTTTTTATCGATAGCGACCTTTTCCCACGAATTCTCATTACATCGTCATTAGGGTCTTATCTCACCTAAGAACTGTACTTAACTACAAAGATATACGGAACTCACAGTATTGTTAACAAAACTGACTCCCATCCGTCTACGATCACTTACAAAAAGGTGGCGCGTTGGGCCATGAAAGGAGCGAGTTTTATCAAACAAATGAAGTACAAATCCCCTATTAAATGGCACTTGAACTCTAGCGATATTCAACAGAACTGATATCAATTTAAAGTAACTCATATAGTGCCTATGTATTGACATAAGTTTTGTCTTAATTGACAATTTATTACCTAGTAATAATAAAAAAAATCGACTATCAAAAATAGTCAATTTTTTTTTCGGCTATCATGGATAGTCTTTTCATTTATTTTTTTACGGAATTGTGTATTGTGATCTTATAATTGTATTGTAGATACCAATTAGTGTGAAGTATTTGCATATCTAGTCTATTTCGTACTTATTAAATAGGCAAACTGCCTATTACTTAAAACAAAAGACACACGATTGCCATCTTTTAAAATAAGAACGCGCTTTTCACAGCCTCACTACTCATATCAATCAACTTATGACGTTTGTCGTTGGCGTACGTTATATCGATACTGTTTCACTTCCCTATGAGAACCTTGATACCTAGAACTAAGTATAATTACAATATTTGTGGGAACTCATTGACCTATCCTATTCTGCGTACGTATTCCGAATGTTGATATATTAGGAATTCCTATTCCTAATGGATGTTTTGGAATACGTACGCAGAATACATAGTTTCATATAGGTATAGGTTTTATTTTTGGCTCGAACTCGAAATTCGAATTTTTAGAACCTTCTGGTTTGTGTTAGATATTCTATTAATCGAGAAAGACAGAGTGCCATTTTGAACGAGTGACATATATGCAAGGATGTTGATCCGATTCTGGTGCCCAAATATAACAACTTTTTGCATAACAGCAATATGGAAATAACAAAAAAAGAAATTTTCTTCTGATCAGCAAAATTATCAATCAGCTGTGGCGATTTGTCTGGGCAAATAAATTTATTTTTGAGATTTCGATATTGGTCCTTTGGAAAAACTTGTCGTGATTGAGCACCAAAATTGGTTCCTTGAATGTGTCCCTCGTCCAAAATGCCAGCCTGTATATTAGGTACATATAAAAATTAAGTATAAACTTCGAAGTAGGTACAGTCAGCTCCAAAAGTCGATGAACAGAATCAACTTTCCATAACACCTGTTCACAATAAAATGCCATAAGTTATAGTCACAACTAGGAAACAAAATAGCCTGTACATCAGAAATTTACAAAAGTCGGTAAACACGACTAATTCAAAAGTATCTGTGCACTATAGTATTCCTAAAGTCGCTGTACACCATCAATCCAAATGTCGCTGAACATCATTGTATCAAAAGTCAGTAAACAGCAGAAAAGTCAAAATAAGGTTAACAAAGTATATTTTTAATGTTGCCCTGTGTTAATATAATTTTGACGCTTATGTTGTACAGCTACTTTTGGGACAGTGCTCGCTAGACCTTAATAATGTATTTTAACACGTTAGTATCCATTTCAATACTTATTTACACATCAATTATATTTATAACCGACTTCAAATAAGGAGTAAGTGCTCAATTCGATGCGTATTTTTTTATGTATGTACACCGATTACTCGAAGACGACTGGACCGATTTGCAAAATTCTTTTTTTATTTGATTGGGTTTACCTTCCATTTGGTCCCATTGTCATGAGGTCAGAATCTGATAGAGAAATCGAGGGGAACTTTCAATAATTGCAGGGGCGAGTAGTTCTTTTGTATGATGTTTAAGTAGGTCTTTTACAATAGTATAACTTGACGAAGGTCGAAGTCGACCTGATGTTGGAGCTGGAAGACAGTCGAGGGATCTCCTTGACTATTTGGAGTAGTTGCCTTGTGTTTGAGCTTGAATGATTCGTATTGGCACTTTGCACCAGGCTTGGTCGTAACTGTCATTAAGGGTCTGATGATGAGAACGAAGGACAGGGAACTCCTGAACGGATTATAGTAACTACTTAGTGTTTAAACTTTATTCATATTGTCAGTAATCATACTAATATATAATATGAAATAACAAAAACATCACTCTAACAATCTACGAAGTAGACAACTTTGTACACAGAAAATTTATTTTTTATGTTTGTGTTTACTTTTTGAAGTCGTTTGTTTTTTTTCATTTAGGTAAATAGAAAATAATAATAATAACTATTTTTATAATCTCGCAGTAGGTGCCAAGTAAATGCTACATACCAAACAACAACAGTATTAGAAACGTGTATTGATCGCTACCTAGTAATCATCATTGTTTTACTTGGTACCTGGCACTTAATTGGCAGCGACTTCGAGATTATAAAAATAGTTATTAATATTATTTTCTATTTACCTACATGAAAACATGTATTACTTTGTACACAGAAAATTAATTTTTTTGTTAAAAATAATATTATTTCACCATTTCAAGTGATATGCAGAGCAAGCAAGGATAATGTGTTTCGAATGAGAAGACGACGGCTACTTGAGACCGAAAATCACGGTAATAGTAGTAGTCCTTAGTGTTCAGTTCTGTAAATTGTTGAGGAATGCCCTCGACTGTCAATGGTCTCCATCATTATGTGTACTGTAGATCTTCAACATAGTTAAATAATCTATATAGGTGCAAAGTGCTCACCAATACGAATCATTCCAGCCCAAACACAAAATAATTACTCCAAATAGTCAACGAGATGCCTCTACGGTCTTCCAGCTCCATCATCAGATTTACTGCATAACTTCATTGTAACTCATGTAGGTGCGAAGTTTTTATTGATATAAATGAATTAATTCCAAACACGAGGTAGTTACTGGAAACCGTTCAGGCGTTCCCTGAGCTGTCCTTCGTTGTCATCATCAGACCCCTAGTGACAGTCACTACCAGTCTTGGTGCAAAGTGCTCACCAAGAAGAATTATTCAAGCCCAAACACAAGGCAATTACTCCAAATAGTCAAGGAAATCCCTCGACTGTCTTTCGGTTTCATCATCATCAGGTCGAGTTCAACCATCGACAAGTTGACGTAAATACCTGAATAACTTCAGAAAATATACGAATCATGCCGACTGTCCCTATAAAATTTTAAATTTCCACTCGATTTTTCTGGATTTCCATCATCAGATCTTGACCTGGTGAACATGGGACAAACTGGAAATTATACACTACTGAACAAAAAAAAAAATCCAAATCGGTCCAGGAGCCTTAAGTAATCGGTTAACATAAAAAAAAATCCCGACGAATTGAGAACCTCCACCTTTTTTTAAAGTCGGTTTAAAATATTATTAAATTTTAAATAAGTATTGAAAAAGATACTAACGTGTTAATATACATTATTAAGTTACACTGTCCCAAAAGTAGCTGAACAACATAAGCGTCAAAATTATATTAACACAGTGCAACATTAAAAATATACTTTGTTAACCTAATTTTGATTTTTCTGCTGTTTACTGATTTTTGATACAATGATGTTCAGCGACATTTGGATTGATGGTGTACAGCGACTTTAGGAATACTATAGTGCACAGATACTTTTGAATTAGTCGTGTTTACCGACTTTTGTAAATTTCTGATGTACAGGCTATTTTGTTTCCTAGTTGTGACTATAACTTATGGCATTTTATTGTGAACAGGTGTTTTGGAAAATTGATTCTGTTCATCGACTTTTGGAGCTGACTGTACATTTCATTTCGAGATTTTTTTACATTCACCAGATTAAAGTGGAAACTCCAGTCTTGTTAAAAAAAACAAAATTCGAATGTTGCATAATTAAATAGAGGTATTTACATACGTATGTTATGACGTAAAATTAAAACTTTTTGATAATAACTTTGAATTTATAAAATAATTACCTAAGCGATTAACTAAGATTGCAAATCCCACAAGAAATAAGTAGTCAATTGATTATTTTTGGTACCTATTTAATTAAAATATTTCGAAGTACTTTTCTAATATTAGTAAAATACTTTGATTAGTTTTGGACCACCAACGCAATTCTTCCACAGAAACATTAATAATTTCTTACTAGAAACTATTTGTTTAAAACGCTCACATCTGAATCAGTTATATTGTAGTGACTACCCCGGTTAATTAGTAAATTAAAAAAGTAAATATTTCAGTTCTTGATAAAAACTGTAGGCCTTGACCTTTCTTAAGGGATAATTCGACAAATGAGCATAGGAATTACTTGGTAGTAGGCAATCGGCGTCGCCCATGGACCGCACCATCAAGGGAGCTTTGCTGGTCTTACATGGATTTTTCAGGATTTCGTGTGGGAGAGTCATGCTACGGCACAAATGAGTCATATCACAACCTGACAAAACTGACATGCGACACTCACTTTAAGTTTCGCCGTGTAAGTGAGGTTAAGGAGGCCCAATCATTCTCCACCCATTCTCAATCTTCAAATCCACTATCCTTAAATTCCTAATAACTCAAAAGAGGTCGGCAACGCACTTGTAGTAAATCCTTTGGTATTATAAGTGTTTATGGGTGGCGCTGATTGCTTACCACCAGGTAATACGTCTGCACGTTTAGCGACGAATCACATAAAAAATATTTAAGCATTGGAGATTATGGGAATAGGGGGTACACAATAATGATTGTGACATAATCTTAAATGGGCAAAAGTTAGAATTTGTTAACGAGACTATGTTCCTAGGTATTACGCTAGACAATAAACTTCAATGGGGTTCCCACATAAAGACGCTTTCGGGAAGACTGAGCTCAGCTGTTTTTGCAGTTAGACAGATTAGACAGCTCACAGACGTGAACACAGCAAGGCTTGTTTATTTTAGCTATTTTCACAGCATTATGTCGTACGGAATTTTGCTATGGGGTCGAGCTGCGGAAGTAGATTCAATATTTATTTTGCAAAAGCGGGCTATCCGAGCGATATATAACTTGTCCCCTCGTGAATCTCTGAGAGAACTATTTAAAACGATAAATATCCTAACGGTACCTTGTCAGTTTACATATGAAAATATTATGTACGTAAGGAAAAATTTGCAATTATTTGAAAAAAGAAGCGATAGACACAATTTTAATACTAGAGGCAAAGATAGGCTGGCTGTGCCACGATTCCGTCTGTCCAAAGTACAGAAATCCTTTATGGGGTTCTGTGTAAATTGTTACAATAAAATTCCAAGAAGTGTATTAAATCTTAATGAACGAAAATTTAAAACTTATATTAAACGCGAATTATGTAGACAGGCATACTACAAACTTTCAGATTATATTGAGGATAAGAATGCCTGGCAGCATGTTGGTTCGGCTCCACTGGACAATTCTCAAATATGTAGTCAGTAGTTATTAAAATTCTCAAAATTAATGAAACCTTGAATGAGTTTATATAGAAGCATTCTTTTGGATTGTGAGTACGCATATGCGAGCGCCATGTACGAGACAACAAAGGATTAAAATTTTAATGATAGATTAAATAGACCATAATTTGTTCCTTTTTATTAACAACTTGTCTCTGCATTGTTCTCACATAGGGGTACAGTAATGTATAAAAAATGTATTATTGATGAATTGTAAAACAAATATTTTTTTTAAAAGAGTAACGATGGAGTTTCTTGCTCGTTCTTCTCCATTCGAAACTACAATTTGGAACGAGCACCTAGCTTCACTGACGAACAGACTGACAGACTACTATTCTATTTTGACGTTTCAAAAGTACCTATTTATGGTTTATTTGGAATAAATGATTTTGATTTGATTTGATTTGAGGGTAGAAAGACTTCTGGAACACACCTCACACAATGCAAGCGTTATTTCAGGCTGGTGATCTCGGTGGCCGTGGTGTCGACACAACGATCGAGCTGGTCCATTATTTTGATCATTATCAAAGAAAAAATGAATTTATTTTGTACCCACATACCTAGACTATTAAACAGCACTTTTACACGTCAAATCAAAACTACTAATCAATTAAGGAATCTGTATTATCAACAAACGAAAAAATACTTTCCCATTCACAGTAGTCTAGTCACAATATAACAATCTTTTCAACATAATATCGATGTAAGTGTAGAAGATTTGAAAATTTCCAACGATCAGCTAAAACGAAACAATAAGTTTCCGGGCGGTCGACACCGTACAAAAACTCGACTACAATAACCATCCGTTAGTAGTAACGTTAGATCATCTGTTACATATGGATTACAGGAGCTAACCGACGATTATCGTTGTATAGGGTAACAATTGGTTCGTGAGTAACTGTATCATTCTCTGGTTTACCGTGGTGCAATCCACCGGATGATGCGGTTAGTACATTATCAATAAAAATGTCCGTTAATTAAAAATGTGGTTAGTAAATCCAAACTAATATTAGATATAAATGCGAAAGTAACTCTGTCTGTCTGTCTGTCTTTTCTTCACGCCTAAACTGCTGAACCTATTTGTGTGAAATTTGGTACAGACATAGTTTGGAATTCGAGAAAGGACATAGGATGGTTTTTGTCTGCAGGAAGTCACTATTCCACGCGAACAAAGCCGCGGGCAAAAGCTAGTTATCAATAAAAATGTCGGCATGTCGGTTTATTTAAATAAAAGGTAATGCAAACTATCCAAACCAATAGTACAAATGCGAAAACAACTCTGTCTGTCTGTCCTGTCTCACAGTCCACACATACAACTGTGTTCACAATTACTAGTTTAATTTAAATTGATAATTACTTATATAATTTACTATTAGTATGAATATAATGTTCTACTTTATCTTGACTAAATATTAATTAATTATGCAAATGTTTGTTCGCCCCATCATGGCAGGATATGCTGGAAAACTCACTGTAACACTAACTTCATTATACCATATTCTTATGTATATAAACTTTTTTGATTTGATTCTACGACTTTCCATCTTTCCGTCACGCCTAAACTACTAAACCGATTTGGATGAAAATATCTGTCCACGTAGTTTCACTCGCTTAGGTACTTCATAGCCTGTGTTCACCGGGGATTG